GAAATAATAACGACACCAAATGATTCTTCTTCTTTAATGTTAACATGGCGGGACCCCACTTGCAGAACTTGGAGTGCCGACTACTGGAACAGAGCAACAGATAATGTCTCTCTTGGCGGAGTAATGCTCATAAAACACGGCCCTCTGCTCTTAAAAATGTCCTGGAGAAGAAGAGGAAAAAACCTGATTGAATAGTGTTGCACCATAAGCCCCTAATCCCATGGCTGATTTCTCTTCTCCTCGAAGACTCGCAAAAATGCTGACTGCATACTCCCAAGGATGGGAAGAGGTTGAGAGGAGGAGGAGGGGAGTGTCATGGAGGAGGAAAAATGAAGAGAGAAAGTCAGGAAAGAAACGAGACACAGCCAGAAACCACAGCGCTTGACAAGGAGAGACATTTAGGGAGTGACGGCATCAAAAAGGAGCCTATGATAAAAAACACTAAATATCATTTTCTAACTATCTGTAATATTTCTAAATCATGAGTAAAATAACAAAGCTGACCATCAGTTTCTGTGTCAACGCTCTCAGCAGGATGACGGTGTTTCAGTACAGCTGCGATTAATACATTTTATTTTCAATTAGGATTTTATGAAAACAAGATAATGGAGATTAAACGATTACTGTGCCTCAGTCAGTTTCGCAACGCTGCCCTCGATTTAAACTGCAGACACTTTTGTAAGATCTGTAACTTTGGCGAGCAGAAAGAGGAGACCAGCTGAAGAGGACCGCTGAGTGAATAAATCACAACGTTTCACACCTCATGAATGAACAGAAAATGCAGAACAGATGAGCTGCTGAGCAGAAAACGTGCTTACGGGGTAATTTTTCTCTTCTTTTCAGGCTGGTTGACATGTTTTAAAGGAGTGCCTTTTCCTCGGTTTATCTGTGCAGACTAAGGTTTAATGTATTCCTCAAAAGAGGCTTTTTCATTTTAATTGTAACAGCTATCGGACAAAAGTGTAATTGCGTGAGTCACACACGGTTTATCTGGCACGCCTGAATTCAAGTAGAGAAAAAGTGCAGTGCTGAAAAGAGAAAACTACTTTTCCCTCGCCGGTTAAGTCTGAGTCAAATCTTGAAAAGACCATGAATTATTCATTGTACCTATTTATCCAGAGTTCTGTTGAGCTTGCATGGTCAAATTTATAGAAAAATATCAAGCTATTTCCACACGTATCTCTCGTTCTACAGTATCTGCAATATTCCACTATTCAGTACTTCAGTTAGATTTTACCATCATAAATCCATGACGGGCTGCAGCTAACGATTATTTTAATTGTCGATTTATCTGCTGAATGTCAGAAATTGGTGAAAAATATTGATCAGTGTTTCCCAAAGCCCGACATGACCTGCTCAAATGTCTTGTTTCCGTCCACAATGCAAAGAGATTTTTCATTTCACAGTCAAAGTTTGTAATTTACTATAAAATGCATGTTGCCGGCTCGTCAGGAGAAGATTTAAGGTTCTCCGTCTTGCTCAACAGGAGACCTAAACTCCACAACCACCCGAGCCACTGCTGCCCCCAAACGTTTCAAGAGTTAACGCCGTTAAGCAAACGGCGCAGCGCTCCGCGGCGCTGATGATGGAGCGGCGAGTGCTCGTCTTTCTACTTTTCCCACCAAGACTAAACTTGCTGATTGAGAGGGTTGAACTGGACACTTTCCTGTAGGACGTCTACCACAGTAACCTCTCTCGGCCACACGCTGCAGATGACTAACCGATTTTACGTTTTGGCGAGCGCTTGAGAGGAGAAAGAAAAGCAGCAGGATGAAAGAAACAATCGTTACTCATATTGGTGCATTAATGCTAAATGCTAAAATTATTGCGTATTAGAAACTTGGCAGTTGTTGAAGGAGAGAAATATTTAGCCAAGAGTGAATTATGGGAAAAGGATGGACTAGAAGCTCTCCACCACTCCTTCCATTTACTCCTCAGTGTCTCGTCGCCTCCCTCTCCTCCTCACTCTCTGCGGCTAACCACCAGCAGCTAATGGTAGACTAGACGGCAGCAAAGTGGTTAAGATTATAGGTTAGATGGCAGACAGATGGTGCAGGGACCAATCAGACGACGACCATCAGCATCACCACCATCTCCTGCAGGGTCACTTTTTCAGCGGTTACTCGCCGGTTACTTTACATCTTCTGGTGTTCAGAAGAAGAGTGCTATTTTTTTTACGAGGGCAGCTTAGTCATGGAAGCCATCTTTTCCAACCTTCTCCCCCGGCTCACTGTGGACCATCAGCTGCCTGCAGCTCTTCTACACAGAATAACGCCACATCTGCTTTTAACATGATTTTACAGGGATAAAAATCTCTGCTCATCAGCACACACGGTCTCCGACAGCAGGTTCTGTTTTGGATCCGGTTCCAGGTTGATAAAATATGTTGATTCACTGAGCTCTAAATGAATCCTGCCTGTCGTTGCTCTTTTTTATGAACAATGTGCAAAACATTCTTCAGGCCATTAGGTTCTTTAACGCTCATTGGTCGATAACGTGCCTTGCATGGCTGACAAACTGCACTGATGTCACTTCATTCTGCTGCTTCTTTACAGTAGGGCTGGCCCGAATGTCATTGTTTGAGCTTCGACGCTTCGATAGTAATTAACAGTGAATAATCGAAGCTTCAAATCTTTGTTTTTAACTTTGTGATGGCAAGGATGGCAGACCCATGTGCAGGACTAAGAAAGGGAGGACTTAGATAAAAGAGTGATATTTATTGCAGGGTAAAAAGATCGGATATTTAGTAGGTGAAGAGCGAGGCAGAGTGAAAATAGATGTGTGCCGAACCGGGTTGGTGGCTGCCGTACAGAGTCTGATCCAGCAGGTCCAGAGCAGAAAACGAGAATAGTTTAGCCGGGCGGGGTCCAGCAGACAGGATGAGTATTCTATATATATATATATATTTATTTATTATAGTACAGTATTTGGTGCTTTTGTAAATTGTGCTATTTCAACAAATCACACGTAAGTAAGATCAGTAATTTTAGAATATTATCCCCTCACCGGCAGAAATCTAGCATGCTAAACAGCTGGAGCCGTCGGCCGACTCGACATCCAGCCAATGAGAGCAGGCAGCTACTTTTTCACCGCAAAACCTTTTTTACTCCCCTCCAGCTCTCTATGAAGCTCAGACGATGCCTGCTGCCTGATCCATTCTTTCACCCAGATTCTTCTCTTTATAATTAATCGCCTGTGGTTTGGCATCATTTCCCGAGTCACTTTTCAAATGTTTTTCATGACAAAACGTGGTTTGGAGACCGGACAGAGTCGTTGTCAGCTCACACCACAGCAGTGGTGTAGTCTGCACCAGGCTTGAGATCGTTTGTGAGAAATGAGAAGCACCTGTGTTACGTCACTTTACATTTTACGCAGACCGTGTTTACACGCAGCGAGGCGTCTTTGCTGAAACGACAGAGGTTTCTGTAGGCTGAATGTGCCAGATAAACGTTCTCTCATATCAAAATCAATAACTGAAGATGATCAAGTTAAAATTTCCGGTATTTGGATCTGCGTTGGATTCAGTGGGCTCTGGCTGTGTCAGATACAGTGTAATCAACATTTACCGTTTTCTGCTGTTCGTCTATTTTGTCGGGTTGTAGGTGAAGGATTTGAAGCGAGCTGCCACTCAAAACTGTTCCTGCATATTCATCAGCTGAATCATTGAGTTTTAGTGATTTTTGTCACGAATGCTAAACGCATTAGAATCTAATTAGATTCCATTAGGGATTCAAACGAATTTTGATTTCATACACATTTTCATTTTCAACTGTCCCTCTTGTTTCTGTCTCCCACCTGCCCTCTCTGATTTCGCCTTGCCTCGGTCTCCGTCTTCTTTACGCACTCTGCCTTTGTTCCACCTTTGAAAACATCTGAGAGTTAAGCTACCAGGTGACCTCAAAACACCGCCACAACTTCAAAGTGGGCTTCAAAGGCACATCGGGACGGACCGGACGTGTATGCTCTACCAACTACGCGAAACACTGATGTTGTGAAATGCAAAGTACATACACTGTGCATGAAAAAGTGGGAAAATGTTAAAGTTTACTGCACAGACGCAGGCAGAACCAGGACACGGAGATCTCCCAGTGGAAAGTCAAAAGCGCCATGTTTTCAGTTAGGTTTTTACTTTCTGACTCCCAAGACTTTGTAGTGATGACAGCAACAAGAGGAAATAGCGTGTTGAGTCTGTGCCACCGTCTCACGGAGAAAAGTTCAAATGCTGCTCTACGTTTCAGATTTAACGCTAGAACACGTTAATCTGACAGCAGTATTTTCAGACTCGTGCCGTGTTGAAAGTGATACGGAAATGTTGCAGGTCGGATCGAGCAACAGTCCCGTCGTGACCTTTACATAAACGTGACCGTGATGCTTGTTCAGACATGAGACTGACGTGTTAAATGGCAGTCGGATTAAAGTAAAGGGGTTCGTGCCTGAAAGGAGCTTTAAATACACTGGAGTGGATTATTTTACCAGACTATGTGTTAACCTTGCAGTTTTCAGCACCACCTGCTTCTGCACACATGCACAGGTGTATATTCACGACAAAAGCTTAAAAGTGTATTTTATCTTTAGACAAACACGCGTGTCTCGTCATTAAATTGTAAAAAAGAGGTAATGGTTTAATGAAAGCCAACAGGGCTCAATCGCAGGAATTCATTCCAACTATGCACAGCTTCAAAGTTTCTTTTGTTTTTGTAACAGATTGCTCCCACGTGGACCAGAGGGGGCTTCAGAGTTGTATAAAATATTTTTTGGCCCTAAACTACAGAGACGGGTATTTTAAAATCCAATCTATACGAGACCAGAAATCACTGCAGATGTCAGAGAGCTGGTGGAGGATACTAACCTTTGCAGCTGAGCTGTAGTCAGTTTTGGGGAATTAAAAGAGAAGCCAGTTGGAAAGAGAGGAAGGAAAGAATGTGTGTGTGTGTGTGTGTTTGCAGGGTCAATGGGAATTATCTGTAAGCAGTGTATTTTGTATACGTGTGCGTTCTTACCCTGCTGCTGGGCGTTGAGCAGTGTGGGGTCAACAGTGGGCACTGATCGGGGGAGAGGCACTGGTTTAACGGCTTCTGCTGGTCAACAAAAACACTTCAAATTATAAACAACAAATACTAAAAAAGATATTCCTACTAATAATCACTTGTTAAACACTTAACTAGGATAAACGGCCATGAGCAAGAAATAAACGGAGGAAAAAAGGCTTTACAGTTGCTGCTGAACTCAAACATTGCTGATTTTTAATACCCCGATGTCCACGTTAAAGAGACAAAGACCTCTGGCAGCCGCAGGAATTAAGACTCAGGGGCGACGGATGGGTCAACAAAACATTGGGACGTTGCCTCTGGACACGACTACCAGCAACGTTACTGTCACCCTTAGGCCCCGCCCACAATACTGCGTTTTGGTTTCAAAGCCTTTTGAGAGACCTTTTGCTGCGTTTGCACCTCCCGTCCAGACTGAAACGGCGAAAACGAAGACCTAAAACGATGAAGTTTGGAAACGCTGCCGACCCCATTTTGCATTTTAAACTTCGGGTAGCGTTTTAGTGCAGACGGGCAAAAACGGAGGACTAAAGAAACGATGACGCTCGGCTCTCTGATTGGCTCTCATAAGTCATGCAAAGCAGAAACACGATGCTGCTGACAGAGTTTTTGATTTGGTATTTTTACTACAATATTTTGTACCGTGAAAATAACCACTCTATAGCCTACACTTGTACCGTGTACGACGCCGTGTACGACGCCGTTTACTTTGTGTCGCTTTTAACTCACGCTTTACATTCAGTAACAGTCCCAGCTCCTTATTGGTCCATGCAAAATAAAATCTGGTCTGATTGTTCGTCTGTAGTACTTTATTCTTCCGCCAAATCTTCTGTAACTGCAGAACAGACCACCTGCTTCATGTTTACAGCGCCACGCTCACGCCCAGTGTTCCTGAACGGCCACTAGATGTGCGTTTTCGGTCGTTTTAATGTAGACGGAGATAAACTCTGATACGCAGCTGAAACGCTGCTGTGGACGGAGATCGGATTCGTTTTAAAAGTTCTTAAACAAAACAAAACCAGAGTAGTGTGGGCGGGGCCTTAGTTTCTTTTGACCACGAGTGTTTCCTGACTTTAATCATGTGGTTATATAAACTCATGCAGGAAACTAAGACTTACTCTCTCCATTAACCAGTGCCTGTGCGTCTGTGTTTGTGGGGAAGGGTGTTTGAGTTTTCTGTCACCAGCTCTTTGTGCAGAAGCTTGTGTAATCTATTAATCACCCTAGACGACCTTTTGTGTTAAGCACATACAGACTAATCCCCACACTTTGTCTAATGCTCCATTCATCATCAGGGGAAACAAAATCAAAACTTCCTCTCAACCCTTTGTGTTTACACTCACATTTGCCACAGGGGTACGATTAAGTCTTACAGTGAGCACAGATTGCTTTGATAACTCAATATCTTTATGTCAACATCTCAATAATTACAGTCATTGCTGGACTTTACATGAACTCTGCTTCAGGAGTAAAACCTGACCGCAGATAAGATCCTCCGATCCTCTCTTTGGCGCGCTGCCCTCCTCTTTGTTTCCTCATGACGACAATGGCAAACATTTGCACAAAGGCAACAGCCTGAAAACAAACACACACACACTCTCGCCGTGAGGAGAGGAAGTGTGTTATTCGGTCACATAGTTGACGTTATCAGGGGAAATTCCAAGACAGATGATAAGAAGAGCTGATGAGTCACAACAGTGCCAATCATGTATTTTGGCTTAGGCTATAAATTTATGGGAGAATAATGGGAAGCTGGAAACACAACGTCAGTAATGGTTATCATTCTATAGGAACGGTCATCACAGACCCAGCCCTCTTTCCAGGGAGTTTCAGATACAGTCAAGTAAACGCATCACAGCTGGACCTGGACATGCTTGACTCACATCCAGTTAGGCCAACCAGGAACCTCAGAAACTCTACTCAGCAGGTTTATTTAGTTTGTAGTGGAGATGGACTCTGTTCCCCAAATGTCAGACTTTTTAACCTGAAGATGAAACCAGATTATCATCCGGTTTCTGCTCTTTACATTCTCTCAGACGCAAATTCAGCAAATGCACTGCAGAACGTTCTGGGGGGATACGTGTCTGTATGTACAACTGGATAAAGTGTTTTAATTCTATGTTAGCATATTTTAACATACACTTAATTATATGTTGTGTGTGTTGCTGTAAAATGACAAATAAACAACTTTGTACTTCTTTAGAATAAAAGGAGCTGCGGTTATTAATCGACCGCTGTCAGTTATTGTGAAAACTTAGTGTCCAGGTTTATAGATGAAACCTGCTCCTGAGGTCTAAAGATCTCACGATCCATGTCTAAGCTAGCCGTGACCCTTCGACTCGGCCATCGACTCGCCCCTTTTGTGAACCGTGTTTAACCAGCAACAATCCAGGGCTGATGGGACATTGGGTTTATTACAGGCAGCTACAAACAGAAATGTTGAATGATACCGGGTTCTGTTTTCCATTACTGTCCTTATCTTAACCTTCTGCACGCACTACACGGTCTGTCAGTCTGTGCAGGGAGGGCTGGAGTTTATGTTATTTTGATTAGAAATCTATTTCAGATATTTCACTGCCATCTCAACAGTTAGTGTGGCTAAAGGCTTTGCGTCATCATACCTGTGGGTGGAGGCAGCTCGGCCGGAGTGTTGGCCGGTGCGTGGGCCCCTGGTGGGATGTGGATGTTGTTGAAGTTGGTGGTGGGGGCCGACGGCCCTGGACCTGGACTAAAGCCAATACCCGGGGCAGGACCCGGCCCCAAACTCTGGTCCTGGTTGTCCTGGTGGTCCCTGAAGGAACCCCCGTGGGAGAGACCCTGGCCTGAGAAACCTTCAGCTCCAAACTCATCTAGCAGAGAGACAGAAGGAGAGAAGGCGGTGTTGAGACTGTTGCACCTTTCTTTTGAGGAACTGTGACTTGATGATTAAGGGAGGCAAAAAGTCAAATTCAACACAAAATGAAAGCGTTCATTAATGCTTTACGAAACACCCAGAAGGTCGATTCATTCGGCAGAACGTTCCAACAACAACAGAAAAGATGTTCTACATCAAACACCGTCACATTGCTGTAGCCTGGTTCCACACCTCTTGAATTGCCGCCAACATCTCTGATCGTTTCAATGATTCAAACAGGCTCCGTGTTCATTACTGGCTGTTTTTCTCAGTTGGAGAAACAACGGAGCCAATCAGAGCTCTGCAGACGGGATTAGGAACACGGACACCATCTTCCTGTGCCTGAGCCAGAAAGCCACAGAAAAGGTGACCAGCGGCACTGACCGACCATCTTCCGGTTTTGCCTGCGCGTTGATTCTTTTTGGGAATGTGGGAAACACCTGATGTCCAGGACACTCTATTTTATTTTATTTACTTTATCTTTATGGCTGCAAGTCAAAAATCTGTTACTGGATGCAGTCTCCAGAGAAGCCCCCTATGGACCTTTACAAAACATGCTTTACACCCACTTACTACTAAAGAGACAAGGGTGAAAAATACCAGATGAACTGGAACTGTTATTCTCCTTGTTGTTTTAAATATTCAATTGTGACAGCGCCTAAATCTCTGTGAACAGTGTTTGTCTAAATTTAGCCGACCTCATGCTAGTCCTGTTTTCATTCTGCATCTCATGTTGTGTGACGTTAAAATGCTACAAAAAGAAAAATTTATCGGAACAACTGCAGATAAGATATCCACGCAGCTGTGTAGGTTGTTGTAGAACGCCTTGAGGAACATTAACATATTTCTTGGATTGGATACTTTCTCACAAACTGAGATTGCTGAGTGAAGCTGGTGGGACGTTGGTCTGTTTGTTCTGCTCAAAATAACCTCACCTTCCAAACAGAAAACAACGCCTAACAAGAAGTGAACGCAGACGAAAGAAGGACATGATCTTGGACGACATAACTTCATACTATTAACCAGGTTCTTTTGGTCAAGCTTACATGAAACTAGCAGTTAGGTGAATGAGAAAATAAATAAAGGCATTTCAGTCTACGCAACTCACATCTCTCAGATTCACAACACAGCTGCAGTGTTTTCCCTAAAGCAGTCATTTCCTGTTCCTGATGTGTTCATCTAATTGCTCACCCTTTGCTTGTACAGAGGTGTTAAAAAGACATGAGGTGCTGTAGGAATGAATCTTTGCTGCTACAGAAGCGTTCAACAGATTGGCGGAAACCCCCTTCGGGTGATTCAAAAAAAGAGTTTAGGCGAAATGATTAGAATTCATGAGATTGAGATTGAAGTGGCCGGCCAGAAAGAGAGTAAATCACATTCATAGAGATTCAATCAGAAACTGATTTCAGATGAGAAATGTGGCATGAAGCGGGGACTTTCTCGGCCTTTCCCTGTGTGCAGCACGACTGCTGATGACTGCATCATATTATTATTACTATGCTTCTGCATTTGTTACCAACACTTCTGAATTCTGGACATAAGAATGTGTTGAATAACACTGCACAGAACGTTGTGTATTTTCTCAATTCTCATGTTTCTTATGCTACATTTTACTCTCTCAAACTGGTGAGGGAGTTTTTGGTTGTCTTACATATTTGCAGTTGTTTTCCTGCGCTTTGAGCTCTCTCAGCCACCATAGTTCAGCAGTAGGCGGAGCTCTATGAAATCTGGACACCTGTATATACACTCACCTAAAGGATTATTAGGAACACCAGACTAATACTGTGTTTGACCCCCTTTTGCCTTCAGAACTGCCTTAATTCTCCGTGGCATTGATTCAACAAGGTGCTGAAAGCATTCTTTAGAAATGTTGGCCCATATTGATGGATAGCATCTTGCAGTTGATGGAGATTTGTGGGATGCACATCCAGGGCACGAAGCTCCCGTTCCACCACATCCCAAAGATGCTCTATTGGGTTGAGATCTGGTGACTGTGGGGGCCATTTTAGTACAGTGAACTCATTGTCATGTTTGAAATGATTGGAGCTTTGTGACATGGTGCATTATCCTGCTGGAAGTAGCCATCAGAGGATGGGTACATGGTGGCCATAAAGGGATGGACATGGTCAGAAACAATGCTCAGGTAGGCCGTGGCATTTAAACCATGCCCAATTGGCACTAAGGGGCCTAAAGTGTGCCAAGAAAACATCCCCCACACCATTACACCACCACCACCAGCCTGCACAGTGGTAACAAGGCATGATGGATCCATGTTCTCATTCTGTTTACGCCAAATTCTGACTCTACCATCTGAATGTCTCAACAGAAATCGAGACTCATCAGACCAGGCGACATTTTTCCAGTCTTCAACTGTCCAATTTTGGTGAGCTCTTGCAAATTGTAGCCTCTGTTTCCTATTTGTAGTGGAGATGAGTGGTACCCGGTGGGGTCTTCTGCTGTTGTAGTCCATCCGCCTCAAGGTTGTGCGTGTTGTGGCTTCACAAATGCTTTGCTGCATACCTCGGTTGTAACGAGCGGTTATTTCAGTCAAAGTTGCTCTTCTATCAGCTTGAATCGGTCGGCCCATTCTCCTCTGACCTCTAGCATCAACGAGGCATTTTCGCCCACAGGACTGCCGCATACTGGATGTTTTTCCCTTTTCACATCATTCTTTGTAAACCCTAGAAATGGTTGCGTGTGAAAATCCCAGTAACTGAGCAGATTGTGAAATACTCAGACCGGCCCGTCTGGCACCAACAAGCATGCCACGCTCAAAATGGTTTAAATCACCTTTCTTTCCCATTCTGACATTCAGTTTGGAGTTCAGGAGGTTGTCTTGACCAGGACCACACCCCTAAATGCATTGAAGCAACTGCCATGTGATTGGTTGATTAGATAATTGCATTAATGAGAAATTGAACAGGTGTTCCTAATAATCCTTTAGGTGAGTGTAGTTTAATGATGGAAACGATGGAGAAACTTGCAAATGAAGAGGTAATGGAAAATGGAAACTTTGGTGTTTCCTTATTTTACCTCTTTACTTAAGATTTCATTTAAAGTCTCTCAAAACAAAGAGGAAGATGTTGGCTAGATAGTGAAAATAAATATGAAACTCCAGTATCTCACAAAAGAGAGTACACCACTCACATTTTTCTAAATATTTGATCTTTTCATGTGACAACACTGAAGAAATGACTCTTTGCTACAGTGTAAAGTAGTGAGTGTGCAGCTTGTGTAACAGTGTAAATTTGCTGTCCCCTCAAAATAACACATCACACAGCCGTTAATGTCTAAACTGCTGGAAACAAAAGGGAGGACACCCCTAAGTGAAAATGTCTTAAACTCCTAAACTCTAGATTTCTATGAAGTAAAAAAAAAAAATCAGGTCTGAATTCAAACAATATAACTAAGCTTGTTTACTAAATATTTAAGTCAATGCTGATCCATGGTAGGAAGTGCATATTTGGATGGATGCTATCGTCTCTTCTTGCCAATAAAGAATGACAGTAACTGAATTGTTCGGGTTACACTGGAACAAATTGCTCCACAATTTAAATCATCAACTCAGCAGAAAATTAATAAAACAAGAAGAAAAAAATTAATCATACAACTAAAAAAGATATTACGCACAGGTGGGGACCACAGATACGTTTAAGATTAGGAGTTAACTTATGGAAGATCTCAGAGTTAGAGAAACACCAACAGAGAAAAGAAATAAAGAAGCTTCAAACCAAAATAATAAAAGAGAGAGAGAGGACTTTAAAAAGAAAGACGAAAAGAAGGAAAGAAACGACGTCTGGAGTTTTCATCCTGCGAACACGAGCCTCACGCTGAAAGCTTCTCCACACCTGAGGCAAAGAAAACATTTCTTGACAGCCAAAAGATGTTTTGACAGATTAAAAAAAACGCCGGCCGGATTTGCAGACACAGGCTGGATTTGACACCATGTTAAGACCCGACCTCGGTCATTAATGCATTACAGGCAGGAAGGGTGGCGGGCATTAGGAGGAGATCTGACACTCAACAAACACTAGCTGGCAGATTTAGTCTTTCATTAAAGCGTTATACTTTGTTTATCCAGAGAAAGTTAAGTGAGCACTTTCTCTGCGTCACACATATTCACTACTATGTGGACACACACACACACACACACACACACACACACACACACCGATTACATTATTTTACTGCTGAAATGTTTTTAGTAATAAATAAGAGTATATTAGCAGACTGGACGTTGGACGAAGTGTCTTCACGAGTCTGTTTGTAGCAGATGGAGTAAGTGTGTGTACTGTGTGTTTTCTCAACCTGGACTGGATTAAGACTGAGGTTAAGTGCTGGGATTTGAACAAGCTGAATAAACAATGAGATATCTAACACAGAGCATCGATCAGCGGTGCAGAATCAGAGCAGCAAAGGAACGATGAGCACACATCCAGACTGACAAAACCTTTTTAACCATCATTTTTCACCAGTAAACAAAACAGCTGTGTGTAAAAATCAGTCTTTATATTTTGAGATAATGAGGAGTTCTTTATTTTCCAGTGTTTCAAAAGGGACACGACCATAAGGTTAGCCTAAGTCCGTCACTTCCGCTTCCGCCCCACGGGACATTATTTACATTAAAAATATTTTATTTATCCAGTTTGAGCTGTGCCCTGAATTACACACATGACGTTTGTTTATTAAAAAGATAATTTTGTCCGTCAAGGAAGTTGCAGTTTGTCGCACTGCTAAGCTAACGTTCGTTGTTTGGTTGTTACTAGCTAAGTAACTTAGCCATGTTCCCCGCAGAAATGTTTCTCACCTGATGCGTTTCATCCAACCACTCTTGGTACACATGGAAGTTATTTGACGTTAGCTTCAGTCACTGAGAGAAAAACTTATGACGTCACAAACGCTCTTTGTAATTATGTATTTTCACAGTTTTACATCAAATTACAACATGATGGGTAT